AGAACAAACCTCACAGGACTCAGGGTTATAAACATCAACGACCCAACAGGCAGCATGGTAGGGGCAGAAAGAATGATTATTGTTAGGTAGCAAAGACAATTAACACCCCTCAAACTCGCAAAACACACGACCAGGCTTGCCGAGCCACTCTAAAAGGATCATGAACGAGACCAAAGGGAATTCCCAGGGCCTGAAGGATAACCGCAGTTATAGTACTGGGTACAGTCCCCAAAGAAAACAGGAACCACCCACAGCCCAACTACCTGTGCTGCACACTGGCACCAGCAACGTGCCGTGTAAACAAGCACACACACACACACACTCACAGTGCGCTCCAACACAACCTAAGTACATCCCTAATCGAGAGCTCAACACAGGAAACAAGACCTTGGAACAGCCCAAGGTAAGCCCCCCACCCCAGTGGACTGCCCTTACAGAAACAAACCCCCAAACACAACAGAGAAGGTAACTCTGGATGTGCAAGGGCAGCATTAGCAGGCACACAGGTAAGAAAACTGTGAGCACATGCAGCCTCAAATGCCCAATGAACCAAGCCCACACAATAAGCCAGAAACGAAACATTCTTGTGAAGCTATACTAAAATTGGAAACAATATATTAAAGCAAATGGCCCCAACAGGAGAAGCAAGTCAAAGGATGGCCGGCACTTAGTTTGAAGCTATGGTGCCTGTCAATGAATTGCTGTGACCAGAAGCACAACAAGTCGATGTGAAGACACCAACATCAGGAACAAAGCTGACTAGGGGAGCTTGGCTGGGAGCCAGGGCAGGCTGCCTGGTGGTGGTAATTGCTACTAACAAGTCTTACAATTATTTGAGTGAATCCCTTGTTCCATGTGACTCATTGGCTGTAGCTTGTTTGATGATTTTTCGTGGCTTTGTTTTCCATGAACCCTCCAGTTGTCTGTAAAGCTGATCTGAAGATCTGGAGGCTTCCTCTGGCAAGGTGGCAGAATGTCACCTGCTCGCTGCATCTGTGAGGGAAGCCTAACAGAGCTAACCAGGCTGGTGTGACCTTTTAGAATGAAGCAATCTCAGGGGGATAGCTTCCGGGAGTCACAAGGAGTCACAAATCTTCCTCCAGAAAAACAATATAGATGGGAAAATGAGAACACAAATAATTCTGAAAGTATTTAGTTACAGATGGATGTGAAGTAAAATAAGATTTTATAAGAAAGTAACACTACAAGGGAACAGGAGGGAATGAATAAACTGAACCTCCTAATTAGCAAATAGGCATTAAACACAAAAAATTACAACAAATACCACAAATTTGGACTGATTAGTACAGCAAAAGCTTCGCTCCTTGCAGGTCAACATTCGATCCCCAATGGCCTGTTGGGTCGAAGACACCTATGAAACAGTCCTGTAGGGTTTGCACTCCCCATTTGACACTTATTTGACTGTGCAAATGAAGCTAGTACATATCAGGTGCCTACCGCTTTGCAGGTTTGCTTTGCCTGCTTGCAGCGGTCTGGATTGTGTGGCCGGGAGGATGACCCCAAAGCAGACCCCACAGTTGGTTTGCTTTGTGTTTAGGGAACCAGAATTGGAGGTGTTAAATTCCACCTTAGCTCTGTCCACACCATCTCTTCCTTTCCCTTCTGGTATGGTTGTTAACTACCCAGATGGCACAGATGAAACAGCCACACTGGAAGGCAACAAGAAAGGCACCAACAACTTAAATGAAAGGGAGGTAAGTGTGGCAGGAATCAGCAGACGGTCAACCTAAACCAGAATGGAGAGGACATGACCACTGGAACTGATGCAAGACCCCAGAGGGACAGAGAAAGATGAAAAGCACATCAAGCTACCATTTACCCGAGCCAAGACAGCCACCAGACACAGAAGACCCCGCCAGCTACACACTGATGGGACCAGAATTTGGCCCCCTGAATACAGGCATAGGGGCATAGGGATCTGTTGATATAAGATCACCATAGCACCCAAGAAACAACCACCTGAAAGGTAAAGCACACTAAAACAACAAACTGCTTCAACAACATTTGAAACCATGATTCAAACAAGGTACACACTCGTTGACTAGGTACAACTGTTAGCAACACTTCATTACCAACAAATTTGGCATTTTTCATTCGAAGTTAAATTACCAGTAGCCTTTGAAAACTTTCGTTTTATATTGGTGTTCATTTTGTAAGCTTTATTATAACCAGCAACAAAATGTTTGACTCAATATTTGAGCTCATTAAGCACGTAATATGCATTACACCTGAAATACATACCTACACCCTTGCTCTGGTCAGATCAACACAGACCAAGTGTAGTTTAGAAAGAGCCATGCCGCAGAGGTATCACCCATTCAGTGTATTCGTACCAGATCCCGTAAAATATCCTAGTCCCCTGGTTATATGCCTCAACAATACAAATCTGAGGGTTGATTATTGAGAAATCTCAAGTAAAATTGATTTGTTTAGATTTTACACAGATTTTCAGAGTGAAGCCCAATCAGTAGGTCCCTTGAGCCAACCAGACTGGGCCCAAACAGGGCACTGACAGCTGCTAGACACGGAGTCTCAGAGACAAGACTCAGAAGGATCAGCTTGGTCTTTAAACTGCTGTAATTACACTTTATTGTTACATAGTGAGTGTCTGTCATTAGAAGATCTTTAATTTAAAGGCAACACTTTTGTATTGGCTTTTGTTCAGCCTGGCCTTGCATGGTAGAGGGGTCTCATGGCATTGATCGGGCTCGAGTAGTCAACTCTTGGAACCTACTACAGATAAATGACTGATGGGAGTAAGTTTCTCTGTCTCCAGCTTCCATCTTACTTGTAGACAAAAATAATTAGTTCCATACTTCCCGTCGTGGCCTTATTTTGGTGCCATGGTTCATTTATTTCTCTACAAAACTTCTGGTCCAGTTGCTTCCACAAGATGGTATCTCTGGACTCCACATAACTGCTGCAATATGCACGCTGCCTTATCCCCAATACTATGCTACCATACTCCATGGTTCTCCCCTCCCATTTATTTGGCAGATGGCAGAACCAACCTTGAGCTTATCTTAGATATATTGCTCTAACAATACCAGAGAAAATAGTTTTTTAGAGGATTAACCAGATGCTAGTTACCAGACATCTGCTAGACCAAACCCATCCTTATCACTACTGAGGAGCCTTGGCTCACCTTACATCACTCTGATATTCTCCATCAAAACATCTTGGGTTTGATCCCCACACAAAATGAAGATGCTTAGGCATGTTTCCTTTCACCTGAAACCTTTCTTGTCCTAGCAGTAAACAAGTGCCCAGGAGTTAGTCAACTCTTGTGGATTGCATCCTGGGAAAAGTCAGTAGCTGGCCTATGGTGACCTCAATAAGTCTAACAGGTTTCCTCTCTGTAATTATAAGAAGAGAAGAATATCCCACTGAGAAGAATAAAATGTCCTTTTCTGAGAGGCATCTTAGCAGCCTCTCATTCCCACCTTTTGGTTCTCATCTCACCTGAGATCGTGGATGGGCTGGGTGTAAAGTACAGTACAGTGATCACTTAGCAAGCATTAGAAATATTGCCGGAATGAAGGTGGATGTATTCAAGAGGCACTTGGATAGGTTCTTGCAAGAAGTGCCGGACCAACTGGGCTGTAGTGGTTATGTAGGTGTGCGAGCCGCTCCAAGCAACAGCCCATTGGACCAAGTTATCATAAGTTGAGCCTGGCCTCAGGCCGGGCTCGGGGAGTAGAACTCCCGAAACCCTCTCCAGGTATACTGTACTTCCTTCCACCTTTATATTCAGTAGTACTGCCACCTGATGCTGGTCAGAACAGTTGGTGAATAAAACTTTGATAAAGTCAGAAAATTTCATATAACTGTTATGTTTGCACGAAAAGGTTTGATTAGCCAATAATCATTTACAAGTGGATTTCCAGCCTTTTTTTTTTTTTTTTTTTTTTTTTTTTTTTTTTTTTTTTTTTTTTTAAAAAAAGCTTTCCAACGTTTAGAAACTGTCATACTAAAACGTCTTATCCTAACCTACCTAACCTACCGGACGACCCATTAACAGGAAACGGGACATTCTGTAAATTTTGCAGGCCGCTACTACAGTACAGTACTGTATTTTTTAGTATGACAGTTTTCGGCCTCGGGTAAAGTATACATCAAAATGCGACGTGCTACTAGGACAATGGGTTGGTATTTCAGTGGTTTGAATGTGTTTGTGTGTGTGTCATAGCGAGCAGCTTCCTCAGGGGTAAACTGAGATTTGCTCTCCACTGAACTCCCCGTTCCATTTTGTAGGGAGACAAGACGTGACACAGAGCCGCACTGGTCTGTCTGTACCCTTGTTGGGTCCAGTGCAGCTGGCTAAGGGAAGCTACTAAGGTACCTCACAAAAGAAAGCATTTCAACTCACTTAACACTCTTCTAATGTACTTGCAGCTGTAAGCTTAACTTACAATAGTGAGACACACAAAAAGAAACAGGCTCAACATAATTAGATATTAAGTCTGTAAACATTATATTACATTGATGTTAAATGCAAGTGTTACTAGCACATGGGAAAGATTAAGCAGATCAGGACATTTTACAGTGCAAGGAAAAGAAAAACAAAGATTTGATGTTTGGGCTTAGAGAATGAATTGAGATCCATACTTGCCAATGGTTTGGACAAGAAATTTTTTTAAAATATTTAAAAAGAGAGAGGTTAGTGATGGGAATAAACCTACATTATGGAGTAGAAGAATCGAGTGAACACAGTAAACATCTTGTATGGGTATCAGGGGCAATAAACCAATATGATGAGCATGTTGAGAGTTGCAATGGAAGTATGTCTGTCATTGCCTGCAATAAACCAATATGATGAGCACGTTGAGAGTGAGTGGCAATGGAGGCATGTCTGTCATTGCCCATCATAATGGTGATAAACGTTACAAAACTGACAGGTCGACAGCTGTCATTTACCCCACAGTAACTTATAACGTTGCTCAAAGGGTTTACCGTTTTATACATCATTAGTTTCTTACCATCAAATGCCTTTTGAGCTCTCTCTGAGTCATCTTGGTTCTTATCAGGATGCACCAGAATAGACATCTGAAAATAAGAAAAAGTGTTTAATTTGGTACACAAGTTGATTGACGGTTGAGAGGTGGGGCCAAAGAGCCAAGGCTTAACCCCCACAAGGTGAGAATTCTAGATGCTATCACTGAGTGTGTGATTCGTGTCACTATGTGTATGCCAGAGACTACAATATCTAACTAGGGTCGGCAGTAAATAAAAAAATGTGTAAAACATGTTTATGCTCATTTTTTGGAGATGAAAAATAGGACAAAATGTAAAAACCTGTAACTTGTTCCAGCATGTCACACGTAACTTGTTCCAGCATATTTGTTAAACCTGTAACTTGTTCCAGTATGTTAGTTAAACCTGTAACTTGTTCCAGTATGTTAGTTAAACCTGTAACTTGTTCCAGTATGTTAGTTAAACCTGTAACTTGTTCCAGTATGTTTGTTAAACCTGTAACTTGTTCCAGTATGTTAGTTAAACCTGTAACTTGTTCCAGTATGTTAGTTAAACCTGTAACTTGTTCCAGTATGTTTGTTAAACCTGTAACTTGTTCCAGTGTTTGTGTTTAACCCTGTAACTTGTTCCCGTGTTAGTGTTTAACCCTGTAACTTGTTCCAGTGTTTGTGTTTAACCCTGTAACTTGTTCCAGTGTTTGTGTTTAACCCTGTAACTTGTTCCAGTGTTTGTGTTTAACCCTGTAACTTGTTCCAGTGTTTGTGTTTAACCCTGTAACTTGTTCCAGTGTTTGTGTTTAACCCTGTAACTTGTTCCAGTGTTAGTGTTTAACCCTGTAACTTGTTCCAGTGTTTGTGTTTAACCCTGTAACTTGTTCCAGTGTTTGTGTTTAACCCTGTAACTTGTTCCAGTGTTAGTGTTTAACCCTGTAACTTGTTCCAGTGTTTGTGTTTAACCCTGTAACTTGTTCCAGTGTTTGTGTTTAACCCTGTAACTTGTTCCAGTGTTAGTGTTTAACCCTGTAACTTGTTCCCGTGTTAGTGTTTAACCCTGTAACTTGTTCCAGTGTTTGTGTTTAACCCTGTAACTTGTTCCAGTGTTTGTGTTTAACCCTGTAACTTGTTCCAGTGTTTGTGTTTAACCCTGTAACTTGTTCCAGTGTTAGTGTTTAACCCTGTAACTTGTTCCAGTGTTTGTGTTTAACCCTGTAACTTGTTCCAGTGTTTGTGTTTAACCCTGTAACTTGTTCCAGTGTTTGTGTTTAACCCTGTAACTTGTTCCAGTGTTTGTGTTTAACCCTGTAACTTGTTCCAGTGTTTGTGTTTAACCCTGTAACTTGTTCCAGTGTTAGTGTTTAACCCTGTAACTTGTTCCAGTGTTTGTGTTTAACCCTGTAACTTGTTCCCGTGTTAGTGTTTAACCCTGTAACTTGTTCCAGTGTTTGTGTTTAACCCTGTAACTTGTTCCAGTGTTTGTGTTTAACCCTGTAACTTGTTCCAGTGTTTGTGTTTAACCCTGTAACTTGTTCCAGTGTTTGTGTTTAACCCTGTAACTTGTTCCAGTGTTAGTGTTTAACCCTGTAACTTGTTCCAGTGTTAGTGTTTAACCCTGTAACTTGTTCCAGTGTTAGTGTTTAACCCTGTAACTTGTTCCAGTGTTAGTGTTTAACCCTGTAACTTGTTCCAGTGTTTGTGTTTAACCCTGTAACTTGTTCCAGTGTTTGTGTTTAACCCTGTAACTTGTTCCAGTGTTAGTGTTTAACCCTGTAACTTGTTCCAGTGTTAGTGTTTAACCCTGTAACTTGTTCCAGTGTTAGTGTTTAACCCTGTAACTTGTTCCAGTGTTAGTGTTTAACCCTGTAACTTGTTCCAGTGTTAGTGTTTAACCCTGTAACTTGTTCCAGTGTTAGTGTTTAACCCTGTAACTTGTTCCAGTATGTGGTTGTTTAAACCCTGTAATTTGTTCCAGTTTATTGAACTGTGCCACTTGTTCCAATGTAAGTGTGATTGTTTACTGCAACTTGTCCCAATATGTGCATGATTGGTTAACCACGTAACTTGTTTCAATCACCCAAATTATTTTTAAAACAAAATACAGCAAATTATGAGGTTTTATCTTGATAAACATACCCTTCTAAATTTTTTCTTGATATCATCGATGGGAGTCCTAGGGTCGACCTGCAACACTTCAAATGGATTGAGATTGGCATACGATGCCCCAGGCCGCAAGAGACGGTCAATCTGCTGCTTTGAAGTCAACACCGAATCTCTCTTCTCTGTCTCTTTAAGCTAGAAAAATTCAGAGCAAATGTTTATCATATATAGAAAAAATAGGGAATAAATTACTATACAGTAAAATATATATTATATTGCACTGTATACACCTCAATAAACTTATTTAATTTTCAATTTCAATCTCATTCTCATAATTTACTATTAATTTTCAATTTCAATTTCATTCTCATAATTCACTATCATTTTCCTGGACTATGGTATGTTTGTTATGCTCACTGAATTTTATGAAGTTCAACATTATTATTCCTAGGTTACTTATATGCCTTTCTCTTCTATGGATGAAGAAATCTGATTGTATCACTGCTAACTTTTTGTTCACTCTCTCTTTCTCTTAAGCTATCAATATGAGCCCATTACGGAGATGCTAATTAAACTAAGGCCCCATATAATTCCCATAATATTTCCTATCTTTTACCATGTATGTATATAGATACCACACTGGCCTTTGTTCACTCGTCAGGCACATCACCGGAGTGGTAGACGGTTGGAACAAGTAAGGTGGTGGTGGAGGCCAAAACCTTCAGTGGTTTTAGAACACAGTGTTATATAACAAAGAGTGCTGGGAAGACAGGACACCATGAACGTAACTCTCATCCTGTAACCACACTTAGGTAATTACTTACCATTGTATCCACCATCACCTCACTCAAAGGAACTTTTTTCCCTTAAAACTGTTTATAGCTTCTCTAAGTTCCCCTTTATCAATACTCCTCTGTTATATTGTTCTTCTGCCACTAACTGTACTCATTCCAAAACATGTTCTGCTGGAGTTATCAGATCAGCCCATATCTTTCATTTACCGGGAAGGGTCCCAGTAGTACAGTCGGGTTCGTTCTCAATGCACAATCGATAATTCCGGGTTCGAATTTCGGACGGTGCAGAATGATTGGGCACATTACCTTTCACCTAATGCCTCTGTTCACCTAGCAGTGAGTAGTTACTCAGGAGTCAGTCAACTTCCTGTGGGGTTGCATCCTGGGCAGGGTCAGTAATTTGGGGGGGGCCTCGATAAAAGCCAAACGTGTATGAATACACTCTGGCTTCCTGTCCCCTGACACAGTGAATTATTTTATTACTCCCCTCCCCCCCCCCTCTCTCTGCCACTTTGACTATCTTTAACCTGTCAGTAAAAAAAAAATTGTATGCTTTTCTTTCTTTCCTATCAAATTCCTCATCTTACCTTTTGATTATCCATTTTCCTTACAACCTTTGACTATTATATTCTATCTATATTCTCTGTTTCACATCACCCACCTTTGTCCCCTACTATATCCCATGTGTCATCCACACTTGCTCCTTGCTTCCTCAAACTATGCCCACCTTTCTGTGTTATCTATTTTCATTCTATCCTCAAATTCCCTTAAATACATTCTTCTTACCAGTCTATCATCACCATTTATTAAACATATCCATACCATCTTTGCATTAATCCAGACCACTTCATTAAAAAGTCACATATAACACACACAGTTATAAACCCATGGATTTGTCTACCTGCCGAAGATATAGATGCCAAAACGCTGCTGAATTTCAGAATCTAACTCGATAAATTCACCAGTACAAATAGGGGGGGCTTTGCACAAGCCACAGATTTCCTTTCCACATCATGGCCACTAGAAATGGTGGCCATCAGGGCTTCCTGTCCTTAGAGGTCATTAGAGATGGTGGGGCCTCAAGCAAATTTCGGTACGATCTGAATCTCATAGTTATAATAATAATTAATTTTTCAGGGACTGGCACACCTGTTTATATTTATCATTAGGCCCATATCAATCGTGGTCCCCCAAGATCAAACTAGTGACACTCTCAAGGATGCAACCCCACAACAATTGACTAACTGAGGGCACCTATTTACTTCTAGGTGAACAGAGGTGACAGGAAATGCACCCAACCATTTCTGTCCTGCCAGGGATACAAACCTAGGATTCCCAATTGTGGATTGAGAATGAACCCGACTGTACTACTGAGATACTACCAATTTTTTTTTCAGGGATATTCCTGTGTGGGCCCTAAGCCTCTGGCTGGCCTACTAAGTGTTGCTTGTTTTTGTTTTACTTGGGCGGAGTATGAGTATTTATGACTCGTATGGTCGCTTCAGTAAGATTTTGTCCCATGTGTTTAACAACTTCTTCTGCTCTGTTGAATCTAAGTTGAAATCTTAATTGGTTTGTAACTGTGCACTGTGTTAGATAATGTTCCAGTGGCCTGTTGGGCATTTCTCCACAGTGTACTACCAATTGACTACCTTGTGCACTCCAAATCCTTCCACGACATTAAAAATTATTCCAATAAACAAACATTAAATGTGCTAATTAGAACTAGGATAATGATGCATTTTAAAGACCTGGAGCTTATGAAATATAATTTCACAAAGCAAAATACATGAAACCCTTACTCACATATACTTAAATATTTAAAAATATTTAGAAATCAATATTATCACATTGAATTATCACAATGATATTTAAAAATCCATATGATAATACAGTACAGAATTACCATTATACAAAAATGCACTAACTTGGTAAAATAACAGAATTGATTGATGAACCAAAAGTTATTCTAAAATTTAAAATGCATGATTGTTCCACACATCATTAAATAGACCACATTTGAGAATGCGCACCAATTTACTTTTAATAAGTAGTAATTAGATTCATGTGTATATTGAAGGTTAAGCCAGCATATGTAGTGTGGATGTCTGATACAGAAAGCTTGAACACTGCCACAGGAGTCACAAAACTTATTAAAACAGATTACAGAGTAGGATGATAGGCTGGTCTGGGACTGGGCCGTGGGAACATTGAGCTCCGAAATCGTCACAAGATAAGGTAAGGTAGATATAACTAGAATTTTACAAATAGCGATAATTGTTTCATCCTTTAACCAAACTAGTAGTATCGAACCACAGCTCCAGAAACAATTAAATTATGATATATCATTCGTTAAACAGAAAACATGAAACAAATTTTGCTTACATTTCATTAGGTTAGGTTAGGTTTGCTGAAAGTTTAGCAATGACATACAATTAATACTCTTGGGGCTTTTTTTTTTAATGTATTCATGTAGTGTTCCATAGGCCTGCAAGCAAATTGTACAACATCCCAGTTGAGTGCCTCCAGAGCTGCCTACAGGGCTCTATCCAACGAATAAAACAAAAATTACAGTTCATTGTTGAGATGATTGACCATTCACTCGCGCGTAGTTGAGTAGGTTTCTCAGAGATAAGTAATATGTGGAACACCACAACTGTGATAAAAGTTGTACATCAAATGGCCGTACTTCTTCACTTACTACCCATCCAGGGCCAGAGACCCTGTGCATACTATGGTCTCCACACACCTGTAATTACAAGTTAATTCTCAACCTTTCGCGCATATTTTATGTAGAATATACTTGTATTATTATCGGCGCGTGAGGGGGCAGGCAAGGCTGGCGACTTGGGCCGCCCCTCACCCCCTCACTGCCGCTCTTCACACCCCTCACAATAATCTACAAAGTCACTACTAACGTCCTTGTAGAAGACATCAAACTTATTGTCGCCTTCGCCCGAGACACCACCGGAATTAGACCCAATGGGCTTGAACATCGGGGACGCCATCACGGCTTGTTTACAGATGCTGGTCGAGGGAGCCTCAGTGTACGCCGCCCGTACGCCAGGGACACCTACTCTAATTAATAATAATACCATAAATAATTACAATAATAAGAATAAAAAACAAATATAATAGTAATAACAGTTTAAATATATATAAAATACATTTGAAACATATTAGAGTGGTGTATTCGCTGGTACAGTGTAAATTATATAAAGCACTAAAAGAACGTTTCGGCAGCTCATCCTTCACTGCTAACTGTCACTTTGATTATTCATAATGATACATTAATCATTTTAATTTATAAGTAGTTAGTTATTTAGCCTAGAGACTGTACTTGTGGTCGTCCTCCAACACATTGTCGATACATACTTTAAACTGTAATTTGTTGAGTAATTTGGGGGTACAGTTCTTGAGCCATTTATTTATTTATTTATTTAGTTATTTTGTTATTTAGCTAGTTAGTTAGTTAGTTCGTTAGTTATTTTATTTATTTAGTTATTTTGTTATTTAGCTAGTTAGTTAGTTAGTTCGTTAGTTATTTTATTTATTTAGTTAATTTGTTATTTAGCTAGTTAGTTAGTTAGTTCGTTAGTTATTTTATTTATTTAGTTAATTTGTTATTTAGCTTGTTAGTTAGTTCATTAGTTAGTTATTTTATTTATTTTAGTTATTTATTTGTTTATTCATTTATTTATTTATTTATTTATTTATTTATTTATTTATTTATTAAGTAAGTAAGTAAAGTAAAGTAAATTTTATTCAGGAAAGTACATAGTTGATTTACAAACATAATGTTGGATTTATAGATAGAGCTGGTACATACAATACCTAAAGCTACTTCATACCCAAGACTCTACTACAAATTAGAGGTATTGTCATGCAATATTCAGAGCTGGCAGGTCCACCATCGACATGGTCTTTTCCTTCAGACAACTGCAGGAGAAATGCAGGGAACAGAAGCAGCCACTCTTCGTAGCCTTCACAGATCTGACGAAGGCCTTCGACCTCGTCAGCAGGGATGACCTGTTCAAGATCCTCCCCAAGATCGGATGCCCACCCAGGCTCCTCAGCATCATCAGATCTTTCCATGAGAACATGAGGGGCACCGTGGTCTTTGATGGCCTAACATCAGATGCCTTTGACATCTGAAGTGGAGTAAAGCAGGGCTGCGTACTGGCTCCAACACTATTCGGGATTTTCTTCACAGTTATGCTGCGGCACACCTTCGGATCTGTCACGGAGGGCATTTACCTCCGGACCAGGTCAGATGGAAAGCTCTTTAACCTCGCCAGGCTGAGAGCCAAGACGAAGGTTCGGCTGAGGTGTCTGCACGACTTCCTTTTTGCCGACGACGCAGCAGTTACTGCCCACTCAGCTGAAGACCTCCAACGGCTCATAACCCTACTCATAACCCGCTTCAGCGAGGTCTCTCAGGCTTTCGGACTCACCATCAGCCCGAAGAAAACACAAGTCATGGGACAAGGAGTGGACTCCCCACCTGATATCGGCATCTCCGATTCCAAACTGGAAGTCGTTCACGACTTCGTGTACCTGGGCTCCACAATCTCTGACTCCCTCTCTCTTGATACGGAGCTAAACAAAAGCATCGGTAAGGCATCTACTACCATGTCCAGACTGACAAAGAGAGTGTGGGCCAACAATAGGCTAACTGAGTATACTAAGATTCAGGTTTACAGAGCCTGTGTCCTGAGCACTCTCCTTTATGGCAGTGAGTCTTGGACACTGCGCCCGTCAGGAAAGACAGCTGAATGCCTACCACATGCGCTGCCTTCGACACGTCTTGGACATCACCTGGCAGGACAAGGTGACAAACAACAACGTCTTGGGGAGAGCAAGAATCACCAGCATGTACACAATGTTGAAACAGAGACGAATGCGCTGGCTCGGGCACGTTGTGCGAATGTGCGACGGCAGGATCCCCAAGGATCTCCTGTACGGAGAGCTGATGCAGGGAAAGCGTCCAGCAGACAAGCCCCAGCTACGGTACAAAGACGTATGCAAGAGGGACCTGAAAGCCATGGACGTCGATCTTGCTATATGGGAGACACTGGCTGCAGACCGTTCAGCCTGGGGTCAGTCTGTTCAAAGAGGTCTCTCCAAGTTCGAGGAGTCACTTGCCAAGGAATCGGAGGCAAAGAGACAGAGAAGGAAAGCCGGTAGTCAGGAAGACAGACCAGAATCGGACTTCGTTTGTGCTCGGTATGGGATGGACTGCCACTCTCGGATTGGCCTCATCAGTCACACCAGACGCTGCTCCAGGATTGACAATCAGGGCGCAACTCCATAGTCTCCCGAGACTGAAGGATGCCTACTACTGTCAGGCAACATCACGGTGACAAGGTAACTGAGGAAAGGAGGATAGAAGCATAGACCAGTGAATCTATACGATGGTACAACAAGGTTGCAGCTGGCAATCCCAATCGTTATGGCCGAAGAGGAGGAGGACGAGGGAGAGAATCAGTGATAGCGAGAATCCATCTTGGATACGTATATCTATGGAGATATGGAATGGAAACAACAGTTGAGCAGCGGAGTTGCAGAATCTGTGGTGAGAGTGACGGACACCGCCTTGACCACTATCTACGTGAATGTGAACACCTGAGAGACATCAGAAGTATGTGTAGAATAATAAACCCCACATTGCTTGAGTTAGGAAAACACTATTTGTCAAATATTGATACTGTTCTTAAAAGATTCCCCCGTTTTGCACCTCTCAAGATAGCGTAAGCTTTTAAGGGTTGATAGATGTTAATCTTCTTGTTTGAGGAGCTGTTCACTTGAGACAGTTAAGCAAGTCCCAGCTATGTCTGGGTACAAGTGACAGGATGAACAACCCAGCGGGTTTTCTTCCTATTGGGGAGTGTTGTACATGCTGCTATGGCGGTGTGTCCACTCACAAGATGAGTGGCGCTGCCCAATACTGTCACTATGGCGGTGTGTCCACTCACAGGATGAGTGGCGCTGCCCAATACTGTCATTATGGCGGTGTGTCCACTCACAGGATGAGTGGCGCTGCCCAATACTGTCACTATGGTGGTGTGTCCACTCACAGGATGAGTGGCGCTGCCCAATACTGTCACTATGGCGGTGTGTCCACTCACAGGATGAGTGGCGCTGCCCAATACTGTCACTATGGCGGTGTGTCCACTCACAGGATGAGTGGCGCTGCCCAATACTGCCACTATGGCGGTGTGTCCACTCACAGGATGAGTAGCGCTGCCCAATACTGTCACTATGGCGGTGTGTCCACTCACAGGATGAGTAGCGCTGCCCAATACTGTCACTATGGCGGTGTGTTCACTCACAGGATGAGTGGCGCTGCCCAATACTGTCACTATGGCGGTGTGTCCACTCACAGGATGAGTGGCGCTGCCCAATACTGTCACTATGGCGGTGTGTCCACTCACAGGATGAGTGGCGCTGCCCAATACTGTCACTATGGCGGTGTGTCCACTCACAGGATGAGTGGCGCTGCCCAATACTGTCACTATGGCGGTGTGTCCACTCACAGGATGAGTGGCGCTGCCCAATACTGTCACTATGGCGGTGTGTCCACTCACAAGATGAGTGGCGCTGCCCAATACTGTCATTATGGCGGTGTGTCCACTCACAGGATGAGTGGCGCTGCCCAATACTGTCATTATGGCGGTGTGTCCACTCACAAGATGAGTGGCGCTGCCCAATACTGTCATTATGGCGGTGTGTCCACTCACAGGATGAGTGGCGCTGCCCAATACTGCCACTATGGCGGTGTGTCCACTCACAGGATGAGTGACGCTGCCCAATACTGTCATTATGGCGGTGTGTCCACTCACAGGATGAGTGACGCTGCCCAATACTGTCACTATGGCGGTGTGTCCACTCACAAGATGAGTGGCGCTGCCCAATACTGTCATTATGGCGGTGTGTCCACTCACAGGATGAGTGGCGCTGCCCAATACTGTCATTATGGCGGTGTGTCCACTCACAGGATGAGTGACGCTGCCCAATACTGTCACTATGGCGGTGTGTCCACTCACAAGATGAGTGGCGCTGCCCAATACTGTCATTATGGCGGTGTGTCCACTCACAGGATGAGTGGCGCTGCCCAATACTGTCATTATGGCGGTGTGTCCACTCACAGGATGAGTGGCGCTGCCCAATACTGTCATTATGGCGGTGTGTCCACTCACAGGATGAGTGGCGCTGCCCAATACTGTCATTATGGCGGTGTGTCCACTCACAGGATGAGTGGCGCTGCCCAATACCGTCATTATGGCGGTGTGTCCACTCACAGGATGAGTGGCGCTGCCCAATACTGTCATTATGGCGGTGTGTCCACTCACAGGATGAGTGGCGCTGCCCAATACTGTCATTATGGCGGTGTGTCCACTCACAGGATGAGTGGCGCTGCCCAATACTGTCATTATGGCGGTGTGTCCACTCACAGGATGAGTGGCGCTGCCCAATACTGTCATTATGGCGGTGTGTCCACTCACAGGATGAGTGGCGCTGCCCAATACTGTCATTATGGCGGTGTGTCCACTCACAGGAAGAGTGGCGCTGCCCAATAAACTCGCCCCTCGGGGCAAAATTTAAAATTTAAAATACTTAAAGCTACCAGTACACACAGCGTGTCGGGCAAGGTGAGGTGGGGAAAACACTTAGAGTAAAACTTAATAGTAATTGAGCTTGAAGTATAAATTGCGTTAAAAAAATAAAAGATAATAAAAAGGGGGGAACATGGTAGAAAATAGCCAATATACAAGTTGGTCAACAAACAGCATTGTTTAAAATAATAAGACATTGGTTGACATTTAGGGGTAAGGTAGGTTACATGGAGTTAATTAGGTAGTACTTTGTTTTTATCTTAAACTGGTTGAGAGAGGTACAGTCTTTAACATGGTTGGGAAGGTCATTCCACATTCTGGGTCCCTTGATTTGTAGAGCATTTCTAGTTTGATTAAGTCGTACTCTTGGAATATCAAATAGGTATTTGTTTCTGGTGTGGTGCTCATGGGTTCTGTTACAACCTTCTAGGAAGCTTTGAAGGTCAGGATT